GCAAATAGCATTTAATTTCCAATGTGAAATATTCAACTCAAACAAAAGCCGCTAATACAGCACCTGCAAAATTTTTCCCAGATGGACCTCTGAAATCCCTCGCTGCTCTGGTTGTACTTCCAATATTTCTTTTAACAACAGGAGTGGAAGCCAAGGCAAACACACAGCTCGCTATCCGTTCCTGATCCCTAAAGCTGCTGTTACGTGCTTGCAGTTGCGCTGCGAACAGCACAGCCACACTGAAACGTACAGGGGATTCTAACAAGGTCACAGTCGTTTCTCTCACTTCATTTGTGAGGATGTCACATATTCATGTCTAAGCAGCAGAACGTACAGGTTTGTGCAATGATCGATGCCTCTTCCACCCATCCCTAAAAGCAAGCAAGAACAGACTTACGAACTTGCTCTGTCCTATTCACAAGCTGAAATCAGCTAAGGGCGTAATCAGTTTCGTTGGACATAATATCTATCTGTTCAGAGATCTTTTACAATTAAAGCACAGAATGACTTTGATGTCTGTATCAAAACTAAGAATCAGGTAATTATAAGGCAGGAGTATATGGGCATTAAGAATACTTGGTATAATATCCATCAGCCTACAATACACAAATCTATTCTAAATGTACTAAATACATCAAACGCCCAACACAACTCTCACTCATTTCTATATTCCTAAACGGTGCCTACAAGGAAAGCGCAGCCAGAGATCAGTCCCACTGCACAAAGGCTGACTTGTCTGTGTAGCCCTGATCAAATCTCAGTTCTGTTTCGACCAGCTCTGCGGAGATGGCTCTCTTGGGACCAGCTGACTTCCAAGAGCAAGCGCCTACAATAACAGCTTTGTACCAAATCTAGTGTCAAGAAGACCCAAGAGATCCATGAAAGGAGTCTCCTTCACATTTGGGCAGATCCCAAAGCTAGTCCAGACATAGTCCCAGACACTTACTGCTTTCTCTATCATTCTTGAGAAACCACTTGCTATCATGCTGCCAAAGCCTTCAAACCATCCAGCCACAAAACGCTCCGAAGCTGCAGACAGTCACGCTCCACTCAGCGCTGCCTTCGCCAGCACTCAGAAATCCCTTCTCGTTCACAAAGCTATTTTCTTTGTTTGTTGCTTTAAAATGTCAGTCGTTACTGCAATAACTATGAGGCACTGAGAGAGGGGAAAAAAAAAGTTTTACTTGCAACGATGATCGCACGCAAAGTATCTTCTGTCTTGCTTGACAAGCATCACACCTTAAAGCCAATAAAACAGGGAAAGATTTGCGCAACAGAAGCAAATAATACAGCGTAGAGAACAATGAATAAGCACCGAAAACCAGCACAACTGCATCTTAAGGAATCCGTAAGCATTAAGTGGCAATTGATAAAATAGAAAATTATCGTCAACATGAAATAACACACAGAAAAAAATGCAGCCCTAACGATACCTACACAATCACAGGCTTCACACAGCCTGTATCACACAGAAGAGACATTAAAATCACTGGGAATATTTCTATGAAAATGTCCATTTGGTATGTTGTAGAAAAGAGAAAGACAATGTTGACTACTGTATATGGAAGTAAGAATGAAAAGGATCATCACATTAGTGTTACACAAACCCATGCTGCTCCCACAACTTGTGTTCTGCAGTGAATTCCCGTACTTTTGTCTGAAAAAAGATATGGTAGAAAGAGAACAATATGGGAAAGACAACACAGGCGATGAGAGATAATAAAATTATTCCCTATGAAAAGAGACAATAAAAGATTAGGATTCTTCAGCAAGGGAAACAGATACTAAAGAAAGGAATACGACAGAATAAAACTGTAGTTTTATAATCATTCTCTGTTCACTTCTCCATAAACCAAGAGCTACGGCACCAAATCAAAACCAAAAAAGCTTTAAAACCTCTACTGACAATTTCAAACAGAGTAAGCAGGTTTTTTCTACACAGAGCATGTTAAATTATGGGATCTGTACCAGAGGATGGTACGGAAACGGAAGGAACCAAGTGGCTAAAACAAGATGACACAACCTCACGGAGGATAGCTCATCATGGGCTATGAACTCACCTCTGCACTTCTCCCTGCCGGAGGTAAGGATGGCACACTGAAGGAAAGTGATCGTTGTATTCTTTCATTTCTTTTTTTATATTTGCCTAAACATTGCTACCACAGACAGCGTGGTGAACTAAATGTAATTCTGAGCAATGTGCCCATTACTTGACTAAAGGGAAAACAACCTAAAATGTCTTTTGGAACTATGTTTTACCCTACATTTTTCATATATATGTATCTTTTCATGTATTAAGCATCATTTCATGAGCAATAATTTTTTTTCTCAGGGTAAATTCAATTAGCATAAAAAGAGCTGCAATTAAAACAGCTTGCGACCATCCCATGACCCATTCAGAGCTGGAAAGGGAATAATTTCCTGTTCTAGTCATGGTAGAAAATAATTATTTCTGTGACTGATAAAGGTAGTTACATATTCATTTCCAATAAATCCCATGCCTCCCACATGCTGCTCTGCTATTTCCTTTCTCCAGCTGCCCTTTCTGCAGCTGCTCTCTAGAATTAAAAGCAAGATGTAGATGTGCAGAAGCCTTACCCCTGTTTGGAAAAGAGACAGGTCTAATAGGACAAGAATTGTGCACCCTTTCACCAAAACCGCTGTGGGAAGAGGTGGGCGCAGGTTGTAACAGAGGCACTGAGAACATCTCAGCTCAAAAGGCTTGAGATTTTCTACTGGAGACACATGACTAAACATCACATTACAGCCATTACTTCTGCACGCTATAAACTCTGAATTACAAAGCTAAGCTATCAATATTATACCCTGAAGTAGAACCTTAGTTTGTTAAATACCAAACGATCAAGTATCGAAGCGGCTTACAAACTTTAAGACTCAACCTGGCAACTAAAAACCCATTCCTTCAAGATGTTAAGCCAGCAGACAAAGCCGAACACCATAATCTGCTAGGGATTAGTCACATTGTCTGTCCCAGTATTCTTCCTTTATATCAAAGCTTTAATTGAGAACAGCAATTCATTACTAAGAGCTAAAATAACACAGTCTTTCCAAGACAATAAAGGCATTTATTTAGATGCCAGTAGTCCAAACCGATCCTCCAAATAGATTTACTCATCTCCGAAGAGCACAGATCTTGTTTGGTAAAGATATTCAGCATCCTGTTTTCTCAATAATTTCCATTAAAAAAAAAAATTTCTCTTTTATTCTATTTTACAGGTTGTCATTCCTTCACAGTAACTGCTGATAAACACCGTTCATCAAGGAATTCACCAGAATACCAGAAAAGCATATTCCCTTACCTCTACAAATACCTGTACCACTCTACAAACTCTCTTTTGGTGTATTTTTAAAATAAATAAAAGGAGAATTTAAAATTCTAAAATCTCCTTTAAAGTTTAGAAGGAGAGCAATCCTTTCCATCCCATACATGAGTTGGAACCAAAGCCTGTTCATTCAGGCTGCTGAAGAGAGCAAGGTACCTTCCCTCTTGCCTATCTCCTTACTGAAATCCTAACCAGCTGCAGCATTTATACAAACATAGAACAGCTTGCTTGGCTAAACTGCAGATCATTTCATCTTTTATCATGAAAAAAAAAGAAGAGCCATATGCTGCTGTCTGAATTCATTTCAAAGCCAGAGTGCTTTGCAGAGTGACAAGCAGCATCCGTGAGCAGAATACAGCAGTGCCAGGCCAGAAGACACTCTTCAAAAGACTGTAAAAGGCTGTCTGATAAGAATGATGTTTCTCCTTACTCCAGAATTAAGATGAATATAAGAACATTGGCACAGCACTAAGCCCACGCTCACAGGCCTAGCTGATTGAGGCAAATATATCACCTCTTGACATAAAGCAAGCATCCCTGCGCAGAGCATTATCGAAATGTCAGTAGCAGAATAAAACCCAACAATTAACCCAAGAATGTTGGAAGAACACAAAGGAAAAACCTCATTCATATTTAATATTTAACTCTTAAGACTTTGCCCCCACAGCTGTGCAGCTGGCAGTGAGCTTGGCTTTGAAGGATATACACATCACTCTATAGCGGGCTGAAAAGGGGCCAAAGGAAACAGAGGACTTGTGAAAGAAAATAGAGCCTCACCATACTGAGCTCTCACACTCAGGAACTAGCTTTCTGCAAGTTATCCGCAGGAAACATATTCTTTGGCAGCCCATCTACACCCAGCACAGAACAGGGCGCTCCAATATGCATTTTCCCAGGGTCTGCACAGTCAAAAGCGATGCCGACGGAGTTCAGCTCCTTTCTGTGCCAAGACGCTTGCAGCATCCCGCCCAGGCACACACATGGGCCCAAAAGCCAGCTGCTGAGCAAATTATTGTCTTCCACTTCCTAGAAGGGAAATTGCACAATTCCCAGGAAAGCTTCTAAACAAACTTTCCTTCACCTTTTCAAAATATATGCGCTTAAGCTACGAGCAGCCCAAAGAATATGCAGTCCGCTAAATTCAGCCTGGTGAACACCAAATGGGGCTCATCGTACTTACTCATCTCAAACTCATTTTGTTAATAGCTTGTTTCTCCAAGCCTCATCTGGAAGTTCATCCTTCACTACCACCACCAAAGTTCACCAACTTGTTAGGTGCAGACTCACAAAAGCCTTGATACAATCTGTTCTTAGTGTCCAGAGAAGTTCATTATTCTATTTGGGAGCTTTTGCTCAAGACCTCTTCTGGCCATCTCGCCTCAGAGAGAAATGCATAATTAAATTGGCGTAAGCAAAGCAAAGTTTATTCCTATAATCACAACCAAACCTACCTTCTGTCAAGCCATTACTTATGCCAATTAACCAAAGCTGTTAAAAATGGCTTTTTAAGGAAAATAGCATTAGTGTAGTATACTCCAAGAGCAAATAAGTTTTGGGTTTTTTTTTTTTTAAAGTTTTTAAATGCAGCTCAGCTCACAGCAATCTCCAAGTCCTTTTCCTATGCTGCTTAACAGCAAGAAGTAAAAAGTTACATACCATTGATGGCACTCAGCACTTTGATCCCATTTCTGTAAGGCAATTTCTATTTCTTCTTTCCCTGCAAAAAAGTGGTCAGAGGTAAGAAATTCAGCCGCTTTCTCTCTTAACTTCTTTCTCTGAGGCTGAGTACAATAGTAGAACGGCATAGAAGTCATATATTTTTCAATTTTATAATACGTTTGGCTTGAAAATGTCCCGTAAATAATTTCATACTCTTGCAGTGATATGGAACATCCCAGACCACTCAAAGAGATCACGCAAATTTGTAGTACAGTAGCAAACTGTGCTGACCTGTCAACGTGGTTTCACCTCATTTGGAAGTACATTTATCTATAACGAAAACATCTTCCACACCACGTTAAGAAAAGTTAATTAGAGCTTTCAGTGGTTTTGTTCTGATGCATTTCACAGCCTCAGATCTAGGACCCACCCCACTTCCCCCTCTCTCCTCCAAGAACCTCAAAAAGTTGCAGCCTCAAAAAGTTGAAAACTAAGCGCCTATTGAAGGCTAAAAGGACTATCAAAATAAAACTTAAAATTTCATGTTTTAAATGGCTACACTGATTTCCAGAAAATAATAATTAATTATGGTATTAACTGACATTATTTAGTTATGTGCATAATAAACAGGACAGAAATTATTTAGAATAGTATCTTTTGTCGCACATCTTAACTGTAACAAAGATGACTTTTTTGTGTTATTCTGACCCACCTACAAGCCTGCAAACAAACCACATTCGAGATAGTGAAAAAGAATGAGGGAATAAAACTAAACTGTTTCCTCTAAGTAAACACACATAATAGCAAGACCAGTTGCTCTCCGGGTACCCAGCCCCCTGAGCTGGAAGACAGATGGGGAGCAGAATGAAGACCCCATAATCCAAGGGGAAATGGTTAGTGACCTGCTACACCACTTCGACACACGCAAGCCTACGGGGCCAGATGGGATCCACCTGAGGGTGCTGAGTCTGTTGATTAACTTAATAACACTAATCGACAGTGACTAGGTAAATAAACAAATAAATAAAGCAAGGATCTTACACAGCCCAAAATGCACGTTTAACTTGATGGAAGCATTACACTTACAGCGTTAAGCTGTTTTGATCTTCACCTTCAGGATGCTGACGACTGAACACCTGAGTGTATGAATAAATTATCACCAGGTAGACTTTCCTGTGAACTTCCAGTGCAGCAACCACTCCATCGCAACTGCATCTGTACGTGCTCAGAATAAAATACAGGGTGATTTGAGTTGGTTCTTCCCCAGCAAAGAAAGGGAACCCTTCACCCTCCCATTTACTCTTGGGTAAGGGTGGAGATCCAATGGGAAAGCTTAGCACCGAGGGCAAGAAGCTGTCTCCGTTTGCCTAATCCTTAGGCTTTGCCCCACTGCCAGCACCCTGCCGTCAGCACCGCTTGTTGTCCCCTGCCCCAGATGTCCCCTGAGAAGCGTGCCACCACCCACCCCAGAGCACACAAGGATCTCCCTCCTCCCACCACGGGTCCAGCCTGCGCCCAGCAGCTCTTGTGGAATACCATGCCCCTAAACTAAAGTGTTTCTGATCAATAATGCAGTTTGAATGGTACCAAGGATTTGTAAAGAAATGTACTGATAAAAGAGTAAGCTCATTAGGAGTTTGAGTCAGCTTCTACTATGCTAAAGGACAGGGGTTTTTCATGCGAAGAGTTGTTGTACTTCCATCATATGGCCAGTGGACTCTGTCCTCCAAGTAGTTAGGCACTGAATTAATTAATATTTCCTGGAATGAGACTTGGTCCCCAAATGCCTTCAGAAGATGGCTACTTTAACTGCAACAAGAAGTTTCAGATACCCCAATTAACAAGAGACCTGGGGTTAAAGCTCATTTATCAAATCTTACAATGTTACAAAAGTCTGAGTTGCAAACAGCTTGTTTTAATAGATAAAGGAGAAGCGAAGACTTCTCAGGAGGCCAGATTTGATCCCAGGCTAGCTCAGATGGGTTGCACCCTTGTAAAACCAGTACACCAGCAAGGTGCATCAGGGTCAGAGCCTGGAATTCACTGAAACATTTTTTTTATTGAAAGAAGAGAAATGACCTTATCGCTCTCTACAACTACCTGAAAGGAGGTTGTAGCGAGGTGGGGGTCGGTCTCTTCTCCCAAGTAACAAGCGATAGGACAAGAGGAAACAGCCTCAAGTTGCACCAGGGGAGGTTTAGATTGGATATTAGGAAAAATTTCTTCACCGAAAGGCTTGTCAAGCATTGGACCAGGCTGCCCAGGGGAGGGGTTGAGTCACCATCCCTGGAGGTATTGAAAAGACCTGTAGACGTGGCGCTTAGGGACATGGTTTAGTGGTGGACTTGTCAGTGCTACGTTAATGGTTGGACTTGATGATCTTCAAGGTCTTTTCCAACCTAAACGATTCTATTTTACACCTTTAACTAGCCCTTGCTCTACTTATACTATCTTTCAGAAAGCAAAAGTTTTAAACACATACCACCACAGTACTGCTAGCTACTCACCTGAAAAAAAAAAAGATTACAATGAAAAAAAAAAATCCACCACATTGTTTGCAAGTGTAGGGTTTATAAATCTGAAGTGTAATGTTAGCTTTGAACATCCCCTTTCCTTTGCCTCAAACACACAACTCCTTACCATCAGATGCATACGATCTCTTCTCATCTGCGTCTTCTGTGATTTCGCACATATCGCTATGTGCTCGGGCCAGGCGCCAAAGAAAGTCTTTCTGGTCTGCATACTGCAGTAAAAACATAGATGTTACATATCAAGACCCATTCTCCTATTGACAAAGAGCATGAGAAAGAAAAATCAAGTGGGGGCATATACTAGAAGTCACACAGACAGTTTCTGAAACCTTAAAAGGCCCCAACTCTATAAGAACTGAAGCAGAACCACAAAAGAGCAAACTGGATGGCCAAATTTGTAATTAAGCTTACAATGCTACACTACTGGTACGGGTCTAATTGTTGCTGCCTTCTAACAAGGAACCCCTCCACTTCAAAGGGCATACTGGGGTCAGTTCTTCAGCAGCCTCCACTAACCTCAGAACACTGGGAAAAAAAATCACCCTAAACCTCACCACTTCATTAAAATTCACAAACTGAATTTTACTTTTTTCATGCTTCAGTCCGCATTCAAACAGCTTCACATCCTGCCTCGTTCTTAAACCCGGGACAGTACTGTAGGTGTACTGCTAAATTTGAAGCGGGTACATTCTGGCAAACTCAAACTTACTTGAAAAAAAAATAGAAGTAGAAAGTTAAAACACAATGACCTAACAGTCTGGTTTCTTTTGTGATAGTATTGTAAATAAAAGAAAGTGGAGAATCACCAGAAAGAAGCATGCAAGAGAATTTCAGAAGCTTCTTCCTGGTGGGAAGGGGGAAAAAAAAAAAAAATCTACTTGAAATTAGAACTGATCAAGTTATCTGTTATTTCTTTCCTTCTATTCCTCCTGGAAATACAGGAGCCAAAAAGGTTTTGCTCTTTAAAAGGCTGGTAACCCAAAACGTTTTCTTCGCTGGCTATGCCATACTTAGGTAAACACCAACAGAGGCTGACAGTGCAAGTGCAGCAGGCACAGGCATCCCGGCTTGTTGTAGCCCCCACCAGCCGCAGCAAGACATGTTCCAATGCCGGGTGCATCCGCTGCGTGTGGCCAGAGGTATAAGCTAGCCATCTGCAACAGCTGGAGTAAAACTATCACTGCCCCGTGCTATGTTCCTACACCTCAACGGCAGTGCCAACGTTCACTGAATCAGGGGATCAATTCACCCTGCCTGTATGATATAAAAAGATACATTCTTTAAGGCGGCAAAACACCTGCACCAGCCAGGTTTTTAATCTCATTAACTAATATACATATAAGTGTTGCCTAACCCTTCTGTTTGAATATGCAACTTATTTATTTCATGAACCACCACACACCCAAAGAGGAAGACCAAGTTTCCTGAATACAGATCGAACCATTGCATATGCAACGAGGTAAATGTTCTCAAAACGTTTGCCGAGTTTACCTTACATACACAGTACTGTTATTTTACATGTACAGTGTGTTCACTCAGGGAAAGTGATGACATGATGAGACACAGAGTTCCAAGACAGAAAGCGACTGGGAATTGGCTGCTGCTGTAGCCCAAACAATTTTGGCCTTCAGCCCGCTCCCAAGCTGCTCCTGAGGAAGGGGGCCACTGGAAGCTGGCCCAGTTGTTGTGTAGGACCTGGACCCTGCTAAGATACGCAATTTCCTCTTTTCCAGCTATTTAGCTGAAAATAAATCACTGCTGGAAAAAATAAGAAGGCAACCTTTACCGCCAGTTTGTTATTCAGCAGCAGCTGGAATCCCTCTCTCTTCTCCTGCTCATCTCCGTTGTGCAAGCTGTCAGCCTGCTGCAGTAGCTGACCCAGTCCTTCCTCTAGCGAGGAATCTAAGACTAAATGCGTTTCATCCTCGTTGACGAGATCCAGGGAATCCCGTCGCGCAGTTCTCACTGTTTCACAGCTCACTTCATCTTCCCCTTCTTCGCTCTCTCTCTCAGACTCCCGGTCGTAATCAGACTCAGCGTTGGCTGTGGTGTACCTTTGAGAAAAAAAAACGCAACGCAAAATTAATTTGAGGAGATGTTGTGCAGCCTATGACAGTTTTATACATATGGTACAGAAAAAACAACTCTTCCTAATAGAGGAAGAGGAGTATCTTAGTTTATCCTGGAGAACACTGCACAATCCAAGTGTCTCAAATAACACTCCAATTATTATTTCTCATGTAATATACACAACCTCAAAAAGCTGAAGAAGGCGGCCCCCCAAAAGTTAAGTAGAACTCAGTCACAAGTGTCCACATCTCACCTGCACACCGTAACAGCTTCTCTCAGGCCTTCTAACTTCAATGTAAGAGAATTAAACAACTAAGAACAGAGCCAGGACAATTCAGTTAAATGTATGGATTATAAAAGAGAATTTCAACAAAAAATCTGACACACTCATCCATGTGGAAAATATAACCTGAGGTTTTTAGCCTGTTCCAGGAAATTTCAGACACAATAGCTGTTTTGGCAATATCTAGTACCTCCATCATCTTGTCTGAGTGCTAAATATGAAACAGCTTGTTCACACTGATGTGTGAAAAGGTGCAAAACAGCAGGAGAGTGATCAAAACTATTTCACGTGAGCAAGAAGTCCAGCAAGGAGACAGCAGATGAGCCACAAAAAGACACCACACGTACAAAAACCCAGGCAACGATTAGCTGCTAAATTAGTCAAATGAACCAGGATAAAGCTCAGATCAAAGTTTCTGAAAATGGCTAAAATTAAGCTCCCCCACATCATATACAGGCACCTAAGCTGGAAATTTAAAACAGCATTATATATTGACTGATACCATTGCAGTGGGGTATCTACTTACAGAACTAACTTCTTTTTAAAGACGACTCTCTATTTGTCCCCTTCGCATTTATCTGCAAGCTCTTAACTGAAGAATAAGAGCAAGTCAGCCAGTAATTTAAGAACGTGCACTTTTATATTCAGATTTTGTTGGTTTATCTGAATAGAAAGCTCTCTTCCTGAAGCAAGCTACTTCAAATCATAAAAACGCTTAATTCTAGGGAACATTTGTAATTGTTACCCAATTAAACTGTGGCCCAAGCCACGTGTTGAACTTTACAGGTTCTGCTAGAACTAAAAGTCGTTGCATTCTGGGGGCATTTAGTAACTACAGCTGTACTCCCTTTTGTCCTGGCTGAATTTCCCCTCCGAGGGAGAGCCTAGTGCTCTGCGTGTGAAGCTGCCTTTGTCTGGAGACAAAGATACGTGACCAAAGTCCGTATCTGAAGAAAGCAGTTACAGTAATTCGGCGCACACAGATAACAAGACACATTTGGCTATCGAAGCTTCAATTTTCTGAGAACCATCAATAATGCTCAAGCATTTCCCTCTCTGGTAGAGGGTAAACAAATACCCTCACTCACGACAGCCTCCAACTCTCATCCATAAATTTAAAAACGCACCACTTTGTACTGAAACATTTTAAGACAAGACATAAAGTAACAGTCAGCCTTATCACTGCAAAGCCAGGAAAGCAAGCACTACAAGAAGACATGCTGGAGATTATGTAGGCAGCACTAAATTAATGGATAACGTAGCAACATGGTGGTAAGGCGACGCTGGCACGGCTCCATTTCAGACTGAGTTAAAAGCTTCATTTCTTGATATTTTCTTAAGATTAATGATATTATTAGTTCTCTAGACTACCTCGGTTTTGGTACTTAAACACAAACTCCTCAAATTCTCTTCTTTCCCATCCTAACCTACTATGCAGCACAGCTGTGGGCTACGCAGCTGTGATACTGTCTCACTACAACATTTTACTGGCAGCTGCAAAGATTTCAGTACTTCAGCTGAAAAACACTTTCCACGTTGAAGGCTCCTGAAACACAATATGGTCTTTAAAAACAGGCAGCAACGGATGACTCCTATACACTTTTTTTTCTCCACCACAAAAATGAGTTTTCTCCAAGGCAGCTCATACAAGATGCTGCCAGTTTAAAAAGACAAGTAATACCATATATAACTTCATAAACTCAGTTTTCAGAAAGATTAAGGGATTTAGATGTTATCAGCCTGTTTTCTCGAGTTTACGATGATGGAAAGTTCTTAAATGCTTTAGTATGTTGAGGCCTCTGGCTAGCACACATCCTGAACGAAAATGAAAACATACTATCTGGAACAAAAAAGCACATGGAAAGAGGAGGCAAGGAAGCCCAAAAGGCCAACGCAGTGCCAAAGCAATATAGAGAAATTAAGCAGCCCAAGACCTCTGGGCTCCTGAAAGCTCATGGTGATTTTTGTGAATTGTATATGAAATCGGAGAAGATGCTTATGTCCATGTGGTTTACAAAATAAAGCTGAAACGCGAGTTCTTCTTTCTGAATTTCATTAAAAGAATACAATTGCCAGAAACGAATACCCAGCTGAAATTCATCTGTTGAGAATAGTCTCATTCTTCCTCCCAGTGGCTGTGAAAAAGCTTAAATAGTCTTTTCTAAAATTTACATTTCCTACCCTGATTTTCTACTAGAAAATTTTAGTATTTACATCTCTAAAAGAAAATACTGTGTACTAAAGGCAGCTGGTCCTCAACAGACTAATATTATACCTATTTGTAGAGGACAAATACCAGAGTGAGAAATTATCTACTATTCGAATTTTTTTTAAATCAGATGAGAGCTGCTTATCCACTAATTCTCCACACTGGTCATTAAACCTAATTACAGACTTTAAATAAAATATAAGAACTCCTCCAACCATCACTAGGTTCCCAATAAAGTAACGAGGTTTTGCAGTAAACTATAGCCCTTGCTCCACAGTTCACCTGAGGTCCCCTAAGGAGGATGTCTTCTCTGAACCTTAGAATTGTTGTCGGCCTCTGTCGTGACTTAAAATCTTCTAATGATCAGATGGCAGTTAGGGCTGGTGTCTGTTGAAAAAGCCCATCCTTCTCAGCATGCTTTACAAAATACGTTGGCACCCTGACGACTCAATGCATCTGTTGTTATCTAGAGAGCAAGGTCTTGTCTGCAGAACCAACTACATAGTTTTAAAGTTTGTTATGCAGCCTTGTTACCTATTAGACCATCGTGAATCACTTACTGCCTAATTTTGCTTTCATAGGAACACCCCCTTCAGATGAATGAAGCAGTTCTATAACCCGAACGAGATCACATCAGCTCTTTCCTGGTTCACCAACCCCAGCTACTGAAGACAAAATACTAAAACGGCACGGTTTCACGGCAGTCACAAAGCCTGCTTTCCTGCAGATCCGTGTCCTTTGTTCTCGGGGGCTGCTGAAGTAATGGCTGCTTTGTCCCCTGGTTACAAACCCGTGCTACCAAGTGTCAGTTCGCACCAGCTGACTGGCCATTTAGCTGCTACCGAACAGCATGTCACGTCCCAATTCTGCCTGCCTTGCTCTCAGTGCTACAATTAACTTAGAATCATAGAATCATTTAGGTTGGACAAGACCTTTAAGATCGTTGAGTCCAAACTTCTCTCTTTAAATTACGTTTCATTCCAGCTTCCCCTGGAAAATGTATACAGCCAGCGCTGCGTGTTTTAGAACACACTTACATACCTCAAAAGCCATAGAATTCATCTGCTTAAGGCACAGAAGAGAAGTGTTTCATCAGAAAGGCGGCAGTCACGTACAGGTATGCAGTAGACCTCTTATTTTCTATCTAATATCACAATACTTGCACCTATATTGTCATTTTTACTGTTGTTCTTAAACTATAAGGTAGTTTTCACCCATTTTTAAGAATTGAAGCAACACAACTGATCAGTGTGCTACACTAGAGAAAAATCCATAAGAAATACCCTAGCCAAAGACATCTTAGTTAATTGGAATATATTTTTAATTTTCTCAAGTTTTCCAGACATTCTAAAATATATTATTGTATGGAAATTTTATTTATAAACTCTCTCACTCAAGTCCCAGGCTGGACTTCTACTTCCCTTCTTCCTGCGAGGTTCCCTAATCAAATTACTGCTTGAGAACATCCCTCAAAAACTGGTTGGTTTTTTTCTTTCCCTCCTTTCTCTAAAAATCAGAATCGTTGCACTTCTCTCAATCTGGCCCTGGCAGTAGTCGACTTACTGCAATAAAAGCAAATAAAAACAGGATGGCGGACACCTAGTGGGGAAAAAACTCCCTTCCTTTATGTTATAAACTGCTCAGACGTGAGTAATTGGGCAGCAAAGCCTGTAAAAGCTGCTTCTAACCTGGTGCTCTGCTTACCCTCCTTCACTTTCTCCATCGTCCGTGTTGGCTGTTGCTGAGCTGGCTGTGAAATAAATTGAACTGGAGCCTGTGGAATCACTTCTTTCTCTAGGAAACGGAAACCGCCTCCGGCGAGTTACTTTCTGGGTTTCTTCCAGATGGGACCTTTGAGGAAGGGAAAAAGAAACAAATAAATGTCTGATAGCAAAATGCCTGCTATTTCACTTCCCTCCTCCTCTCTAGCGCATTCTATCCAATTCGCTCCGTACCCGAAGAATTCACAAGGTGACTTGCTCTTGCTTATACAAACACCCCGCTACCATACAGCAAACATCGTATTCTACAGTTAAAGCAAGTCTGACCACAGACCTGGTCCATATACAATCCATATATGCAATCCACGTACAAAGGGGTAATCACATCACATGCATTCCTCTGATTTCCTCCATGAACAAAGACCAAGGAAACCTGAAACGTCTTGCAGAATATAGTACCTTTTATTCTATATCAAAAGTTACCTACAGCTGGCAGCAATCAGAGAGAAAACAGCAGTAACAAGAGACAAACATTTACAGAACAAATTACCTTCCCAGTCTAGAATATGAAGCAAGCGTCACTCCTTAATACTCCATAAGAGAAAAAAACAACCCTGGCTAAACATTAATTTTACATTAATCTCACCGGAGGCCAAGACGTAATGCCAGTGGAAACTAGAGAGACGCTTTTTCCACTTTTGGATTTTAAATTTAACATACTCAATCATGGCTATGGAGTAAATACGTGCAACAGCAGGAAAACACGCAAAGAGGCAGGGTCGATACCTGACTTCACCAATGATTTCTGCGGCTAAGTGCTGCAGGCTGTTTCGTAGCTCCTCCACTTCTTTTCTTAGCTCTGAAATGTTTCTTAACACAAAGTCAAGGCGCTCAAGCACATCCACCTGCTCGCCGTGTGTTAGGAGGGCTGTGTACGTCGCACCATCTCCCGCCTCGACAGGAACCGGCACTCTGGGCACGACTTAAAGAAAACAAGAGGAGAAAAAGTTCATTAGACGTAAACGGGAAAGGATTTCACATGGGAAATCTTAGTACAATTTTGTTTTCAGAAGATGGAGGATATGAGGCCCTACTCTTCTTTTGCTTCTCAGAAATTAGGCTGTTTGCTTTGCTGTCTTCTCAGGAAGGGGCTGCACAGAATCTCAGTGTGGTGTTTGCAAGCACCTGCCCTACTCTAGCAGCATTCGCCGCTGCTCCCGTTACCACGTCAGCGGAGGCAGATGCTCCTTTTTTCCCTAGTCCCGCTCAGGACCTGCTGTTTCAGGGTGAAGTCCCGTGAAACCGGATGAACCGATTCCCTCTGAGGTATATGGTCAGCAACCAGGGGCAGACATTCGCTGCAGCAATAGTCACCAGCCTATCAAAGTCATACGGGCACATCTGCCCTCCTGTTACCGCTACCGCGCTCACACGGTACAGCTACCAGCAGCGCAGCAGGGAAATATTAAGGTGCGAGTATCTAAAACCTGGTTCTGCAACTTCACAGATTGAAACGCTGTTCACAAACGGCTCCCGCCCCAACACGGTAGCAGAGACAAGCCTTCAGGTACCCCACGAAGATATTCAAGTAAAAGTTCTTCCCCGTAAGTAGTTTTATTTTTTAAATCCAGTCCACTGAACTATACGTATGGCTAACGGGAAAGGCCCGGCACTTGAACTCGCCCAGCCCTCTGTGCCGCCGGTCTCGTTTTAACACCCGGGCAACCGCCATGAACAAACGCAGTTTCGCTTTCCGTTCCCGGAGTTTTGCACGGACTTGGGCACACAAAAGCAAGCTCAGGTTTCTGCATCAGCATTTTCAACAGTCCAATACTTCAGCCCCGCCGGAGGTCGGCAGCGAGCAGGAGAAGGTCAGAGCTCTAAAACAGCTCTTAGAAACGCACCGCGAGGGCAAGTCTCGAACAGAACAAGCGTCACTAGACTTCGCCAGCTGCGGGCAGCCTTTTTAAAATCAGTTTTAACAGAAACGTGTAGGAACGCGGGCGGGGCTTGTTTTCCCGGACAGGCGGG